TTTCCACACGAAAGAATCAAAAGTCCCTGGTGGTTTTCGAATTCATAGCAGTTCAGTTCAAGTGATTTGAATTCAATAAACATAAACAGCTCGGCTTCGGTCGAACACCTGTCTGTTGTTTTTTTCAACAATTTGTTAACGTCAGCTGTAAAAGAAGCAGTTTTAGTTGTTTTTTTATTATCTTCTGGCGTGAAGTTTTAAGAATATTAATATTTGAATTAATTATAAAGACAATAACATTTAACTTTCTTACTAAAATGAAATATTTCATTAATCTATAAGATTATTTTTACTTTTATATTTTGGCGCGAATAGCAGAGAAATTGTCAATGTTAAAGTAGTCATTTTCTGAAAAACTTTGTTTAATTTTTCAGGCAATTCATTATCAAATAAAAAAACCCATTTAAGTTTGAAAGTATGTTTGGATTCCATGTCTCTAGTCTGTGGAAAATTCGACATATAATCTGACATATAATGAGAACTTCTTCAATTTTATTGAAACATCCTGTCGTGCATACATCTGTATCAAATATATCGGTGCAAAGCGTAAAATACCTTTGCAAAACGGACACCTTCTTTACAAAATAATTTATAGTTTTATCAATTCTAACTCGATTTAGAAAATTTAAAGTTTTTTTAATGGAGAAGAATGATACTTTAGTGCAAAAAATAGAAAATACATGCCGTTGACCTGTTCTCATCGGCGATAAAGAAATGCAATACGACAAAATCGGCGGTAAAGTTCCGCGGCGCGCTGAACGAACGGAACGCATACATGTACCCTACTTGTAAAAATATATCGTAGCATAACCATTTATAATATAATTTTAAAAACTTAATGTTCAGTTTCAAATAATAAAGCTCATCTGTTCTCATCGATTATTAACAAAATGAATACAATAAAATCGGCACGTAAAAGACATAATAACGGAATCGGCGGAAATTGTTGTTAATTATAAGTAACAAAGGTAGGCATGTTCTCTTCAGATAGCTAGAGACCTGTACAAAATTTGTAATTCTTTATTTTTTTTTTTCAAAAAAAAAAAAAAAAAAAAAAAAAAAAAAAAAAGGTCATTCCTGATTGATACAGAGTCCAGGAGAGGTGACCCTGGAATATTGAACTTTGTATCAAAATTCTGTAAATGAAAAAAGTAACCACCCCAATTTCAAACTCACGGAAGCTGAACCAATATGCAGCGCGCAATGAAAATACAACTGCGTCGTATCATATTTTATTTTCAACTGCGTCGTATCATTTCGTAAAAACCATTATTTTCTTGGAAAACAAACATCCTTTTTCAATGTAATTTTAGTTAATGATGCAAAATCATATTTTGAAGTTTGTGGGGAACTCTGATACGAGTATACAATTGATTTGAAGGACAAAAACGATAGATAAAGCAAATGAACTGCGTCGTATCCATACATTTTCACAAAAAATTTGCTCCGCTTCGAGTTGCAAGTTCGCTATAACTTTTGTTTTACAAAATAGTTATGCAAGCAACATATACCGAACGAAGCGGAAAATAGTGTAGCGTGTTAATACATATATCTGGTTTTCAGTCATTTCCAACAAAAAGAGTTATAATCAAAAACATACGTTTTTCGTTCCAAGATGGCGGCGTTTGTTTACATTTTGTATGATACGACGCAGTTTTGATTCCCTGCCCTGAATAATGGCGTAAGACATAATCGTTAATAAATGCAGACAAGAAAATAATTAGCTGGAAATACTTATTAATCACAGAGTAAGAAAAATATGCAGCCTGCCTGAGACTCGAAACAAAGACCCTCAGAATATCATGCCTCACCAGCACTACCGTATGAACCCAGAACCCTTTGAATACCATACTGCAGCTCTACCGCATAAACATTTTTCTCTTAATATGCGATCCGCGCTTATAATACATGAACATAGTCCCCCACTTTATTGAAATAACTCCTTAAATAATTGATGAACTGACATAGTGAGATGTCTGTTTATACAGTCTTGGCCCTATGTTGGTTCCCGAAAGTAACTGGGCAGCCTGACTGGGGCTCAAACCTGGGAGGCTTGCATGGACACTTTGAATACCATTCCATAGCTCTACCAACTGAGCTATAAGGTTTCTTCAATATCCCATTCCCTAATCATTGGACTGTTAATACTGTGACATCCCTGCCATATTGAACTCCACATTTTTTTCATGAGTATAGAGAATACGTTTTAGCTATATACCACCATGGCTCTACATTTTGCCCCGATATCAAACCCCGGACAATCAGAATACCATATGGGGGCTGTACTGACTAAGCTATCTCAGGCCATCTCACATTCCTACCCCCTCCACAATAAGTACAGAAAAAAAGACTTATTAGCTCAAATATACCTTTAAAACCCAAAATGGTAAGTTCAGAACTCCTGGATTAAAGATGAGAGTGCATCATAATTTTGTTAACCTATCTAGCTCCAGTGAACCAAGGGCATTCCCCAAAAATGAAAATAAAAATATCCCTAGAAATATGTCAATCTCCCTATATTAAGTTATTCAAATTAACACAGTAAATACTAGACAGCTCAATGAGCTCAAGCATGTTACATGCATGTTTTTAACAATTAATTCCATTTTGTCTCTAGTTTAATGGGAAGCAACTTGTTTGTCCTTATCTGTCTATCTCAGACAGACTATTCTAGCTGTTTATAAACAATTAGGTTATTGACAGTGTGCTTATCAGGCTATACAGAAACGTTCTTATTATTTTTTATTATAAATAGAAAGGAATAAAGGGTATTTTGTGTGACTGGTTATATATTATTATACTTTAGAGTTGATTTCAATTAGTCCATACCTAAAGGTATCCTGCAACAGAATTCATCCAATAATATTTTTTTTTTTTTTTGTTAATAAAATAAGCCTTGGTGATAAACTGTGGTGTCACGACCTAATGCTGATAACAGGCAATTTAAATAACTTGAAGTGCTACTTTAGATAACGTTGTTAAGTGAAAACCAAGAATGGCCATTCATTGCTATTTCTTCTGAGGCGAGCTTTCCTGACTGCCCTCAACCTCTGAAGGCATTGTATGCACAGTTTCCCAACTTCTTCCCTTTTCCTTTCTATTGCAGCCCTCCCTCTTTTTACCAAATGACTGATGTAAATGTTGTCAAGCAGTTTTATTGTGTCGCCTTGAAAAAGGCAACATTTAGGGGTTACTTTTGTCGGCGTCGGCGTCGTTGTTGGCGTCCGTTTCGGCATCGGCGTCCCCTTAAGCTTGTCCGGAGCACAAGCCAGTCATTATAAGTTGGATTGACTTCAAACTTGGTATACATGCTTCTTATAATGACCCGAAGTGCGGTGCACAAGAACCGGTACTCTGCACTTCTTAATTTTTGAGTTATTGCCCTTTGTTAATTTTCATACTTGAACATGGACTTGAAACTTTATAGGATGATATATCTCATTAAGAAAAAGTGCAGAGTAAAACCGGTACTCTGCACTTCTTTCTTTTGAGTTATTACCCTTTATTAATTTTCATACTTTATTTTTGTCCAGACCATTTCTCATAAATTATAAAAGCTATGGACTTGAAACTTCATAGGATGATAGATCTTATTGATAACTAGTGCATTGCACAGAAACTGCTGTTCTGCATTTCGTTTTTTTAGTTATTGGCCTTTGTTAATTTTCATATTTCATTTTTGTCCTAGCCATTTCTCCTAAACTAAATTGTTCACAAGGCGACACATCCGACTCGCGGAGTTCTAGTTTTAATAAACTTGAACATGGAAGCTTCGGCTCATTACCGGGCGTCCTCGGGACAATACCGGCATCACCCGCAGCTCAACCATGGTGAACAACCATGGTGAAATCAGTGATGGTCGGGTTGGACGGTGATGAAACAGTGTGTAGACGGATCTTCAAGGGATCAACCGGGAATACTCTGGCTTTGCATCAGTACTTACCCGTATATAGCCGGTGTTATATTTGGTTCCAAAAAAACAGGAATGCACCTGGCCTGGGCTTTGTCATAAATGTGTAAACGCAATTTGATTTTTCAGAAAAACACCACGGAACACTCCGGTTCAACGGTTTAAGACACCGTAGCAATACTGTGGCCATTACTGGGACAGTGTAAATGGAGCTTTAATGGCTTGATTTGGCAGCCAGATTATAAGTCTGAGCTGGCTTATATTTCTTTCTATTGCAGGGTAATGTGAATATTGTTAACGTTGGCTAAGCCTGTATGTTGTGATTACATGTCTAACTTTGGGACAGATTTACTTAATGAATTTATTTATGTCTTATTTATATAATGGAGGGACACTGGTGTAAATATTCAGTTCTAGAACAGAATTAATATCACTACATACTTTTAATAGAGTAGGTGTTTCCTTGCACACTAAAGTTTATTATGGCTGAGTTGGTAATGGGACATTTCAGACAATAGACTTTCTGAAAATCCAACCGTCTTACTAATTACACAAAAGTTGGTCATTTTAAAGATCCTGTATGTTTTGTGATTGAAATTGTTACTTTGTGTATACCACACTTATTATATATGTATATAATTATGCAAATAAAACAATTTTCAAACATCGAAGAATATGTAAAATGTGTACTGCAAATATCTGTGCACATTTTATTTAATCAATAAATTACATGCATTCATTTCTTATTGGAAAACTTGAGCTTGAATTTGTAGAAAATAAATTTCTTATTACCTCCCTTTATTTACATGAAATGTTAAATTGGGAAATATCATTATAAAAAATGCCTATTGGAACTTACAATATTGACAAATCTTAATTTGAGCATCATATTTATGAAATAAAACCATGAAAAAAATTGTGTTACAGGATCTTTTAAATTAATGCATTTATCGTACAGAAATAGATCGAGCACTTGTCTGATCGAGAAATCGTATTTATTTCTGAGGGTTAGTGTGGCGTTCGCGATTTTCTTAAATTATGCATTTTCGACATTTCCGCACTTTTACTTTTACATACTTCATCCTTGCAGATGTTTGACTGTGATGTCGGGGGACAACTACATAGGCACTCAACTCGTAGTGAATTAATGAGTTGTAGAAGGTAAGTCCTTTTATACATCCAAAACCATAGATGCGGGTCTCTGTTAAGATTTAGTCACATCCTGATCAACTATAAACTGTGTGATCTTGTTTTCAGTTCCACTAAATTTGTATTTGCTAAAATGGAGCTATTCTTTTGTACCTCTTGTCGGCGTTGGCTTCGGCAATGATTAATTTTTTCTGTCAGGTACATTTTGTCAGAAACTTTGAAAGCTGTTAACTTTAACCATAGTATACAGTCTAGTACTGGTATAATTCTCCAGGAACGATGGTTAGGAAATTACCCGCCTTTATGCCTGAACTACTGTTGGGAAAAGGCGTAAAATGAAACAAACAAACAAAACAAATTAATCATCATGAAAGACGCACTTTCTAAAAATACATTTTACATCAGTTTTTGTTTTCACTCCTGCACCTTTTTAATGTTTATCACATTTACCCAATTCAAATATGACGTACAGGTTCAGTTTCACGATATGGCAGCAAATAATCTCCCCATTTTGATTGGAAAAAAAACCTAACCGGAAGTATTTTTGTACCGATTTTTTGGGATAAGCGCCAATCTGATGTATTTTGTAAAACGGCTCATATACTGGCGGAAATCCAGGAATTGAGATATTTGATATGTAACATCTTTTTTCGGAACACAAACAAAACTGGTATTAATCATGCCTGGTGGTTAATTTTGGTTTCAACTTACTATCATAGCCCCTGAAGTCAGTTCGTTGATAAAGTTTTGTATGAGAAATTAAGTTCATTCTTATTTTGTGAATCTGCAATACTAAGAGGTAATATATTTATTATTTAGCACTGATTTATGAATCTCTACAAAACTGATATTTATCATTTCCCTTGAGTCAACAATGGCCCGCCCCGGATTCAATTAAATTATATAAACTCGTGTAGGAAAACCAAAACAGGATCTTTATGTAAAACTACTAATCCCATAGCTTAGGTATTTAGCATGTAGCAACAATTGTAGATTTAGAAGTCACTTGCTTTATGGGAAAACACACCCTACGGATTTTGTGATTTAATACTACGCCTTTAATTTTGGCATATATCATTGCAATCATAGAAATATTGAAAAGTGTTATGAATTATGCACTAAGGGCATACAAATGCCTCCACAATGGAGGTCATATAGTATAAAGATTATAATTAAGGCAAAACATTTTTTCCGACATGTTTCTAGATTGAAAGACTATTTTTGATTTCTAAATCAAATTTACATTTGGGTGAATATTGCCCCGCCTTTGCGGTACTCTGGTATTCTAAAAGCACTTATACATGAATATGTCGCGGCATATACTGACATTTTATATCTTTTTTTTTCGTTTTGCCTGACTGTGTTTCTGTGTTTTCATATACGACCAGTCTCCATATCTTACACAAGGATTGGCGGAATGAATATGTTTGTTTGTTTATTTTGACACAATTTGCAACAATTTATTTTGTAATATTTGAGTTGTTGGCATTCATGAATAACCAAATAACATATTTTTCATACAAGTACCCATCAACTTCTCTCACATGATTTCTGATGATAAGAGAGAAAACACAATACAAGACTGATTGTCCGAGATTAATTATCTCGTAAAAACCTTTCATAATAATGCAATTTTATAATTCAAATACTGAAAGGAAGATAAATCTAGCACATTAGATTGTTTCTTATTGTTTCGGTAAATTTTGTTGTTATTTACTTGATTTCTGAAAGACCTGTGTATGAATAGTACGAATGGTTACAGATGTTACAAAGATGACCATATATTGATTAAAAGGAAATTTCAATATATTTAAACAGAAATGAAGAAGAAAAAGCTGATAATAGAACATTTCAATTGGAAATGCTAGCAAAACAACTTGAAATGAAAAAACTTGACAAAAATATGGAAGAAATGAAACTCAATACTGAAAAAATAAGACATGATAGCTTAAAGCTTGAAATTGAAAAAGAACATTGCATAAACCAAAACATAGAGAAGAGCAAGATTAATTACGTGAATGCTCAGGCTTATGCTGAAAATGCAAGAAGAAATGCTGAAGTTGAAAGGACAGCCGCTGAAACTGCAAGGGCAAGGGCTGATGAGGCGAAATTCGAACAAATAAAACTTTTGATGACAATGAACAGAGGTATGTATATTATTGATTGGGAAATATATATAATAATTATGTTTGACATTCAACATAAAGTAATGATTAAGAAAATTTACAACACAGACTATTATCATCCCTCAACGTTTAGCTGCTTGATCTTCTGTTCGTCCGTGTGGTCTGCCATAGTGTGGTGTGGTTGGTATGAAAACAATGCTCAGAGATACATAATACAAACAACGCATCAAGTGTCTGCGTTCATTGAACGCCGCCTGTCCTTGTTGACCTTGTTTATCATATTTTGTAATATACGGCAGGATTTATCAATTCAACGTGAATGTGTGTGTACATTTACTTATTTATTAAGCATATAAATGGTTTTAGGAACGCTGGCCTTAGGCCGACGTTGCGACCAATGTTCAATGTTGTCATACGTTGTGTCAGCATCAGGTGTTTTGCAGGGTTTAAACTTAAGATCATTCTCTCTTCGTCAGAACAGAGAACGCCTATAAATTTAATGTGTAAAAGAAACAATGTTCATATCAAATGTAAATTTTAAAACTTATACTTCTTTAAGCACTTATAAAATGTAACTTATAACCTTTTAGCCTTTGTACCACCTTTGTACAAATACAAACTCACCAACATGACTGTCCAATAATTGAACCGGGTTTTGTATATGAAAACAGGTAACGCAAAGTGAAATTGCAATAATTTAACGCACACCTTGATATAAAAATGGGTAATGTACGCACATGCGGACTTTGGCTATAAATGCACCAAGAGGGCTTTTTGCAGATGAACAGGTATGGAACGCCGTGACTGTCTTATGTGATCAATGTTTTTGCTATCTTGTGACACGATGATAATATTTTGTCGTTTGAGTATGTTAACGTGTGCAATTCACACCATGTCTTGTCAAATGATCATGCTGACTTGTTCAAATAGCATGTTAACTTGTCCAGTTATCATGATGACATGTGCAGACAACATGTTAACTTGTCAAAGTATCGTGATGACTTGTGCAAATAAGATATTAACTTGTCAAAATATATAATGACTTGTGGAAATGACATGTTAACTTGTCAAAACATAATGATGACTTGTGCAAACGACTTGTTAACTTGTCAAAGAATTGTGATGACATGTGCAAAAGACATGTTTACTTGTTCAAATTTCATGATGACATGTGCAAACAGCATGTTTACTTGTCGAATTATCATGATGACATGTACAAACAGCATGTTAACTTGTCGAATGATCGTGATAACATGTGCAAAGAGTATATTAACTTGTCAAAGTATCATGATGACTTGTGCAGACAACATGTTAACTTGTCAAAGTATAATGATGACATTTGAAAACGACATGTTAACTTTTCAAAATGTCATGATGACTTGTGCAGACAACATGTTAACTTGTCAAAGTATCGTGATGTCTTGTGCATAACACATGTTAACTTCTCAAAGTATCATATGCATGTTATCACGTTAATTCGACACGTTAACATGCTCTTTGCACATGTCATCATGAAATGTTGACAAGTTAAAATGTCGTTTTGCACAAGTCATCATGATATTTCGACAAGTTAATATGTTGTTTGCATAAGTCATCATGGTACTTTGACAAGTTAACATGTTGTCTGCATAAGTTATCATGATTATTTGACAAGTTAACATGCTGTTTGAACAAGTCAGCATGGTATTGTGACAAAATATGATGCAAATTGCACATGTTAACCTGCTTAAAAGACATAATAGTATTATCATTTCACAAGATAGCAAACACATTGATCACATAAGACAGTCACAGCGTTCCATAAACAGGCATTCAAAACGGGCATGAATCAAGTTTTGATGGTAATATCATACAGATAAACGGAAACATTTGTATTGACCGTAACAGATGTTTACACTTATTATATCGTTAACCAATAACAAAAGTGTATTTAAAGGTTTCTATAAGATTTTATGCTTCAAATAGTATTTCCAAACAGTGACATCTTACTGTAAAAGAAAAAAATAAATATATCTATCAACAAAGTACATGTAATCATATTAAAATGTATAATGGAGATCAAGTCTGGTGCCGTTGTACGCCCTATATAAAAAAATCAGAACAATGCTTTTTCGCCTATACATTACAGAAATACAGTGACGCACAGAAGCGCAACACATATATAAATCACGTCCGGAGGGTTGTTTTTATAACTTTTGTATCATAGTTTGGAGACCTTCCTATTGAAAAAATGCCAAAGGAGTTAAATTTTACACCTATAATTGCACAATGCTTTATTTGACTGCAGGTAATAGTGTGAAGCACAACGAGCGAATGCCTAACAGATATTTCACAATTATTATTAAATACAAGTGTTTACCAAAATTTGAAATATATAGATATATATTATAATTTGTGTCAGGGTTACCACTATGATTGGTCAGACATGGTTAGTTTATTATTCCACACAATAGTATTAATTGACTTAATCGAAATGCTCTATCCGAGTTTCCCTTTTCTGTCACTCGGTTTATTTATCTGCATGGACAAATCCATTACATTCAATTTGAGACAACATGTTTTCCCATTTTCTTTTATGTTTGTCCTTAAAAAAACTTTTTAAAGGCAATGAAAACATTTTTCTTACGTTATCAAAGAAATAATGAGGTCTACCCAACAGTTTTACAAAAATGAGCATTTACAGACACTAAATCAAATAAAATTCGTTTCCTGACGTTATCATTTTAGTAGTAAGCGTTTAATGAACGCTTCAATAAAATGGATACTAAATGCTTTTACTTATGAATAATAATGTTTTCATTTTTAAAACTCTTATATAAAATTAAACTAAATCTTTAAGAATAGTTATACCTTTCTGTCTGCTAATCTATGTAAACGAATTATTTTGCGGTATCCATGACGATAATTTATCACAGGGAAGTATCTACTTATAATCATTACATAACTCATACCCCTGTCTTTTGCCTCTACCGATTCCATTAACATTTAAAAAAAACAATTTCAAATTAAAAACCAAACTTTTCATAACTCTATATTTAAAATGTTTTATCAAAATATATGCATCAATGTTTGTTATTCAAATGAAATAATTTCTCAACAACATTTATATAATACATTGAACTTTGGGGGAGCGAGGCTGCTTCTCAGTTCGTCAATATTTGCCTAAATTTATACCTCTGTTCATGTTTCTCGGATTTTGACCGGGAAATGATTGATGCATGTGATCCCCTTACAGAATTCCATTGGTATGTCGCCTGGCCCTGCCCCTAAGAGCCGCACCGAACTGTGATTTAGCACCATCGTCGTCCCTCAAAAGACATTTCACAAGACCATGTAAGGCCTGAATCGCTTCTCTACACTAAATTCAAAAATATAGAATAGTGAAATTGAAATGGAGTGAGTGACTGAATTGGAGGTAAAAGCTAGTTTCAACAATTTTGCATGTCTTTGGTAAGACCTAGTAAAACAAGTTACCTTCCGAACTCGATGAAGAGCTCTACTTAAAGCGTTATCGAAAAGATACAATTCGGTTTGTCTGAATACCGAATATGAACTGATATTTGCGAATATAATTTATATGGAAAAATAGAAAGACATCAAAAAAAAGCATGCCACAGCATGATGCGTCAGTAAGATGGACATTATGGTATCTAAATGCATTTAACACAAGGTTTTTTTTTTCATTTCGGAAGCATTTTACTTTGATTCCGCCAAAACTTACTCCAGTAGCATAAATGCTTTCTACACATAGAAACAAGTTTTTCGAGACAATCGAGAAGTTAGGACTGACATTGAAGATCAAAATTCAGTTTATAGCGAAGCTCGAACTATCCCTGAACTTCGAGATCGAAAATTACTGTAAGCCAAAGCTAAAAATTGAACTAGATATACATTTCTAGCTAGGTCGAAAATCAAAATTTAAAGAAAAGTTGAGCCGATTTTGAGAAGGAGTTGAATGTTGGGGCAACTAGGATTTAAATTTAAAATTACCTTAAGCCGAATCTCGATAATTGTATCAGCTGCTCCTACAATGATACCAACGCACTTAGGTATATCCCTAGCTGTAAATCTTGTATCAGCAGCAATCAAATCCTTTACTTTTTCAAGCATTTTGGCGAAGTTGCAGTTTTTGGGCAGCGTGCATCTTTTACTGAATCCGCACAACTTTTAAATTTCTTACACCACCGTGTGACAGATGATAAAGAAATATCATTGTTCCCATTAACACGACATATTTCAATTAATAAATATTTCGCCTATATACCAAGAATACAGCGGTTCCTGATATATATCCGTATTTGGTCAGTGAAAGGAGACCTTTCCCTTACCAGTTTAGCTTTAGCATAGTTACACGAGTAGATATACTGGACTGATTTACACATGCATTGTATCAATTGAGAGCTTACACAACCATCAATGCGATGCATGTGCAAAGTTCTTGCAAAACTTGGTTGAAAGCGAGATATTGGTCTACTTTCATTCATATTAGAACAACCCTCGTTTTCTTACCAAATATTAGCATTCTTTATTGCAATTACCTTTTGTTTGGAAAGGAATTTACATAAGTCATATTTTACTTGCTTTCCGATCCACGAAATCTATCAGTATGATTGTATATGTTTTCTGTTGTATAAATTAAAATAAATATTGTTTAAACTAACCATATATTCCCGTTATCCTGTTTTTCCTACTTAATTGTGTTTTGTGTTTCCTTCTTCGTTTAAACTACTCGATATTCGACTTTACGAAATTTTAAATTTTGATCCTGGAGCTGCCTCAAAATTCAACTCAATCTCGAAATTCATTATATTAACCTAACTTAAAAGTTTACATTTAAAATCAACGATCAAGCTCGAAATTGTTCTCCAGCTCGAATTAATGCCTTTACTTTATTTGAATTTCGATCTTGAGCTTTATCGAAATTAAACACAAACTCAAATACGACTAAAGGTAACTTTGAATTTTGATCTTTGAGCTGGTTTGCAATCAACTCCGTTACAAATTGCAGCCTCTGCAAAATTTTGAATTACGATCTTCGAGCTAGCTCGAAATTCAACTCAGGCTTGAAATTTAGCCTAAGCCTGCAAAATTATGAACCTTCATCTTCGAGCTAGCTTGAGATTTAACTTCAGCTGAAAATTTGGCCTTTCCTCCTTTTTTAATTTCGATCTTTGAGCTGGCTCGAAATTCAAGCCAAGCTCGAAATTTGGTTTAACCTTACCTAGAATCTCAATCTGCGAGCCAGCTTGATTGCAAGTCCAGTCTGAAAATCAGCATTCGCTACTTTTAAAATTCGATGATTGAGCTAGCTTAATTTTAATTTGATTTTCTGTGTTGCTCGAAGTTCAACTACAGCCAAAATCGGCTTTTTATGACACTTTAGTGGCGGGCATTTAGATTTACCCTTGTCCGTCCGTCCGTCCGTTCACTTTTGTGTCGCACGTAACTCAAAAAGTATTTGACCGAGAGTCATGAAACTTTACAGGAATGTTGATCAGCATGTGTAGTTGTGTACCTGGGTATTTTCGTCTAGATATTTTTAGTATTTTTAGGGTTATTGCCCTTGACTAAATAAAATTTGCAATTTTTAACTTGTGTCGCATGTAACTCAAAAGTATTTGACCAAGAGTTTGAAACTTTACAGGAATATTGATCAGGATGTGTAGTTGTGTATCTAGGTATTTTCGTCTGGATATTTTTAGTATTTTAAGAGTTATTGCCCTTGATTTAGTAAAATTTTGCAATTTTCAACTTGTGTCGCATGTAACTCAAAAAGTATTTGACCTAGAGTCATGAAACTTTACAGGAATGTTGATCAGCATGTGTAGTTGTGCACCTAGGTATTTTCGTGTGGATTTATTTAGTATTTTTATTTCTAATTGCCCTTGACTTAGATTTTTTTTTGCAATTTTCAACTTGTGTCGCATGTAACTTTAAAAGGATTTGACATAGAGTCATTAAACCTTACGGGAAGGTTGCTCAGCATATTAAGTTTTGCACCTGGGGTTTCCATTGTGGATTTATCCAGTAATGGTAGTTATTTCCCTTGACTTTGAAAAAACCGTTTCATTATGTTGTTATTTGTTCCTTGAATGCTTGAGTTAAAATCAACCAACTTTACAGGAATAATAATCAACATCACTAAATTACAGGAATAATGATTCACATCAGTGTGAAGCTATGGACCTGGGACTTTGCATGTGGATTTTTTTTCAGTTTTGTAAGAGTTATTGCCCTTGACTTACAGTAGTATAAATTTGCAATTTTCAACTTGTTCATGCATAGCTCAAAAAGTATTGTAGGCCTGAAAGTTTACAAGAATGTTATGTGTACTTAATGCACCTTGGGGTTTGCTTGTGGATTTATTCAGAATTTGTAAAGTTCTTGCCCTTTACTTAGTAAAAGATTTTTAGTTTTCGAAAAATATTTGACCTAGAGTCATAAGATTGACAGAACAGTGGCGCGGTGGGGGCACCCGTGTCCTATGGACACATTTCTAGTTGCTACTGTTAAATTTCGATCTTCGAGCTGGCTCGAAAATCATTACCAACTCGAGTATTATGGCTTCAGCTTCCTTTGAATTTCGATATTATGAGCTAGAACGAAGTTCATCTCAAGATCGAATTACAGCCTTTGCTACGTTTAAGTTTTGATCATTTAGCTGACACAAAAAATCAACTCCAGTTTAAAATTCAGGGACTCTAACTAATTTAGTTCTTTAAATTAGTTCGAAATTCAACATCAACTCGAAATTCGGCACTTGCTTATTTAAAATTTCGTTTTCGAGCTAGCTTGAATATAAACTCCAGCTCGATGTTCAGCTTTGGTTCCTTAAGAATTGCTGTTTCCACGCTGTATCGAAATTCAATCCATCTCAAAATTCAACTTAGCTGACTTAAAACTTCGATCTTCGAGGTAGCTCAAAATTCAACTATAGCTCGAAATTCGGCGTTTGATTATTATAATGATCTTCATGTAAGCAAAATTCCACCCTGGCTCGAAATTCGGATTTGCAAATAAAATGAATTTTGACCTGCGACATGCCTCGGAATTCATCTGCATCTCGAAATTCAGCTGAAGATAAAACTGAATTTTGATGTTCGAAGTGGCTCAAAATTCAATCATAGCTCAAAATGCGTATTGCCAATTTTGAATTTCGATCGTCGGTTTAATTTTAACTTTTCTTGATTTTTACATATACATGTAACATCGCAAATTCCCAGAACATTATCGTGCAGAACTTTTTTATTATTATTACTATTTTATTTATTTATTTCATTTTTAATTTTTAGGCGCGGGGGGGGGGGGCTACGATCGTATCCTACTTTTATTATGATAGCATCAACTTTATTTCATCGACAATGAAAGATAGGGTCAGGACTTTAATTCCATGTTTTTGTTAAACTAGAAAGATACATGAATGGCCTTCTATGATGATATTATTACGAAATAAAATATCTTTGGAGGTCAGGGCTATTTATGGGACATCTCATAGAATATATCGACCCAAAGAAGAACTGCATGAACAATAATAATCAGGACAAAGGCACAATCACGCAATACATACACAATTATTGTCGACAATGCAGGTGTTTTATTATAAAATTTTAGATAATTTTGATATTGCCACCTTATATTAATTCCATCCTCAGTCATAAGTCACAGTTGTCATTGTTTTATTTTATTTTTTATTTTATATTGATTTATTTTTAACAAGAAGATTTTGCATGTTCACAATATAATCTATAACACACACACACACACACACACGCACACGCACACGCGCCGCGCGCGCACGCACACATTAACTTATTCGAACATGTGTTATTTTCAAATTACTGTAATTTATGACATTTAAACTGCATGACTAAAATCTATGGGGCCTCCGTGGCCGAGTGGTTAAAGTCGCTGACTTGAGATCACAGATCCCTCACCACTGTGGGTTCGATCCTTACTCGGGTAGAAATCTTTCATGTGAGAAAGCCATCCAGCTGGCTAACGGAAGGTCGGTGGTTCTACCCAGGTGCCCGCTCGTGTCTGAAATAATGCCCGAAGGGGCACCTGGGGTATTCCTCCACCAATAAAGCTGGAAACATCGACGAAAAATCTCGGTGGGACGCTCTAGGATGACCCGACTTGAGTGTACTGTCGCCCATATGGGCTTTCCGGCGGCGACCTTAAATAAACGCATAAAAAATCTATACATACATATTATTAGGTTTAAAATATATATTTTTTTTGTTAATATAATACTTTACACAACGTGGTCAAGTAATTATGTACATCCATATTGTATTGTATTGAATACCGATTTTAAATATAATGTTACAATTAATTTTTAATTCTATCTATATACATTGATGTTAAACCCCTGTCGGGGAACTATTTATAGTGCTAATAATCAGCCACGAAGAAGATACAAAAAAAATTATATCATCTTCATCATCGTCGTCGTCGTAATCAAATTGTGTTAATGCATGTACTGTCATTTTACTTTTTTACCAGAAACATTTCATTTTTAAAGGATAAACCAAACGACTTGGAACAGAGTTTTTTATATTGACAATATGAAAATTGTTCATTTCATCTCCCAAGTACTTATGTCTGAAATATAGTTTTGAATCTCTGGAAGTACAGAACATATATCTCTCAGAAAGAGTATTCAATTGTTCTTGCTGATCTGAGTTTTATCAGTTTCATATTTTCTATCTATTCAGGTTCCGCTGAGGTACCGGGGATAATGCATGCTCACGACGAACTTCAAGCCAACATGTTGTCCTCTTTCAGCTCAATTTAAACAATAAAACTTCGATCGACAATTCAACATTTATGTGTAGGTAACGGTCGCATTTATAAATGAGCTATTTTCTCATCTCATTATTACTTCTTATGCTTTTAGATGAACAAAATTTTTTTATACTCATACCACACCTGTGAGCTCTAATGTATGTACCGATCATTGAATAAAATGCAAGTCATCTATATAAACAATGATCCAATAACGCGTTGGCATAAATAATCCATCTTTGTAATTGTCACGAGAGCTAATGTTAGTATAATAGTTGGTGTTTTCACTTCTTAGTATCTAAAAGTGAATGGTGTTTTGAAAGCGTCAATAATGTGATAATAAAGGTTTAAATAAACGCAAAGGTGAAGTTTATAAATTTTGGTCTGTTTTATAAACATATACTTATAAATGTTACTCGGATGGTTTAACACCGGATTTAATACCATAATACATGTATATCAAATGGTGGATGTGCCAATTGTTCAATTGATATGTATCAAGTAATAAGTACTAAACTCATTTTGTTAGCTTCACTTATGTCTAACTGTTGGATTTTAGACCGTTTAGTAATAGTATTTCAGTTATATAGAAGTGTGTTCCTCAACTCACCTGTCTTTTTTTTCCATATGAACTAGAGATATGGTACGAATATCTCGTAAGCAATGTTTTGTATATGTGCATTGTTGAAGTGGTCGTTATCGATAGAGTTGTACTCCTAAGGGAGTGGGCTATTCTTATTTTAATTGTTGAATGTTAAATTACATAAAGGATAACCATTCATGTATAATAATAATATGACCAATAAAGTATAAAATGTTACAGATGTAAATGAAAAATGAACAATAAAAATATTAATTCCACTAACGCTGCCGTACTTAACGTCGCAAAGTATGACATTTTTCCGGGGGTTTTCCCCGGTTACAACAACGTGGTAAACTCAAAATAAGTTTTGCATGTTATGCATGTAACATTTAACTTTGACTCTGTTTTCCATTATTTCCGAATTTATCTCATTTCATATACTTGTTTTTTTTTGTCAGAAATTATCAACTTGCCCATTTTGCATTCGTGTGAACGCACGATAATAAGGTGGGAAAATATACATGCTTTCTTATAATTATATTAGTTTGTATTTCCTCTTAAGTTTTTGTTATTCACATGTGTCTATTGCATAGATGCTAGCCAAACCGATAATATTTTTGATAACGGTTATAGACATATTTGGACCTAATTTTTTTGATTATCTTAATAACTGTTTATAGCGTTATTTTCCTTTTATTGTTTTCCTATTAATTACATTTTATGTAACATAATTGTGTTCTTGATTTAATATCCTTTAAAATATTTCATTTAATCGGACTTATTACATCAAATGAACACAAAAACATTTCAAACATGTCATAGAAGTTTGCACTGGCTGTGTCTGTGCAGCTGACTTTGGCTTTAATTTTCAATTGCTTTTCTGCATATGAAATTATGAAAACTATTTTTCTGCAATATGTTATGGTAGTACTGTAAAAAACATTGTGATTGCAAAGATGCTAAGTTTAGAAATAGCAAATTAGAATACAGAAGAAAGGTTAAATCCGTTAGCTGTAAAATAACTTGGCTGAATATCAGATTTTGCAAAATATTTTTGTGGTTTAATAAATTAAACATATAATTATGCTGGCATTGAAAACCTTGTAGATTTTCTTAATTAGAATTATATAAAGACAGATCGATCACAACCATTTTGTCTTGAAATCATTGGAAATACAAGTATTACACTATGCATTTTATGTTGATACAATAATAATGTTTAACCTAGTTTTATTGTATTTCTTCATTTTGTTTGGTATTTAATGGTTTTTATATGCCTAACTACACATATTTAAACAGAGCGTAAATTATGCTGTGTTATATGTGAAAGTTCATTAAAGCAGCATGCCTCCGGATTCGTGCTAATTGCCCTGAAAATACACGTGAATTACTAAAAGGGGTAAAAGAATGCACAAATATTCCTTACTGCGTTAGTCACGCTATAGTAAAATCGTAATAATTAATGCAAAATCAGTCTTTACTAAGTAATTACTTGAAATTTGAATCATTTTCACTTTTCGTAAGAGCTTAGCGCATTTTTGATTTACTTACAATATTTTGACTCATTTGGAGGCACGCAGTTTTAATTAAGTGATCATTACATTCATAATATTTTTGTTGTTGGTTTTTGCGACACGTGTTTTGCAATATTATGTGAAACTATCGAAGTAATTGTGCTGCCTATGAAACAAACAAATCACTTTGTGTTTTAGTGATACAAACATCTCTGGTGTTGACGTGTAATTTTCTTTTTACTTATCGTATCTTGACAAAATATTTTCTTTAAGTTATTCAACATCAAAATTCAATTGTTTTATAATCGTGTGGTTGAAGAGTTGTAAGGGTTTTATCTGTTTAGCAATGATTAGCGCCATTTGCTTGTAAAGATACACGTATTTACTATCATAATGATTTCTCATACAGTCATTCCGTTGGAAGTATATTTTGCTTAATTCAAACAAATATTTTTTGCCGAAAAATAATCTCTTTTTATATCATTAACACTCTTTTTTGTACAGAGCAATGGACTTATTATGATATTGTTATTCTCCATTGATAAATGTGTAATGCATAAAAGGAATTTCTGTGATAATATATTGAATGCTTCTATGGACGTCTTTATAAGTTATTGGCACAACAAACATATTAATAGTGAGGTTGGCTCTGCACGGCAAAGAAGAAATAAGATAAGAACCTATAGATTATAAAAAACAAGTTATGAGACTGAAGAATATGTTAAATCACTTGTGTCTAAAAGTCAAAGATCAGCATTAGCTGAATTTAGATATGGTGTAGCTCCAATTAGACTTGAGACCGGGGAGATATGAAAACAATCCATAGACCTTAAGATTATGTCCGATATGTAAACCAATGGTAGGATGCTACGCCATCAAGGACCTGCTGAATACTCTCATTCGGACCATTTTCTGCAAACAATATGATGGCTCGAAGGTAAAATACAATTTTGTTATTAGAAATGTGCTTTAAAAACTGTTATGTTTATGGGTCCGATTGGAAGCATTTCTGAAATCAAGTCCGGATGGGATCATTTTCTATTTTTGTAAAAAAATAGGGAAAAACTAACTTTTGAATAAAAATACATAATTAAACATCCCGTTTTCAAGCCTAAACCAGTCAATATCTCTTTAAACTTTTTTACAGTTATTTCAAGGACTATAGCCATTATTGGGTGCTCGACATTATTTTTTGATAATCTTACTATTTCTTACAAAAAAACTGTGTCGACGGATGTTCTTCAAAAAAATGGTCCGGGAAATGGTGGGAACATTCAGCACGTGCGCGGTGACGTAGTTACTTACTATTGAAAACTCTTAATCATGTTCTGTTCGAATGTTTTGACTACCATGATGTAAGACAGATGTTAATTTCTAAATCCATGGAAATAGACTTTGTTAATCTCAATAACCAGCAAAAACTTAGAACAACAATAATATTGTAAAGGTAAACATGTTGCACTATTTGTAAATTTTATAAACGAATTAACAAGAGTATTTTAGCTTTTAGCCATGTATATTTAGACGATGTATATAACAAAATGGTATATTCAAAGAAAATCTCTTATAGTTATTATTGAATTGATTCAGATGGACAATACACTGTTTTAAATGTATATCAATATTTGTTAATGTTGGGTATACTTTTAATTGATAAGATTTCATAAAGAAATAAATATATGAGAAACATCTGCTTATCATATCAAGATATTGTTTGATTGACAATTAGTTCAATCTAAAGTATTTTGCTACCAAAATCGCCATGGACATTGGAATTCCTTTTGGACGAGGTTAGGTTGTTATAATGTAAATAAAAAGAGAGGTAACTCTTCAGTACATATTAGCAGTATTTTCAGGATGGGCTGAGGAGTTGTCTCCCCTTTCATTATGTTTTAGTCTTTATCATTATATCAGAATGATCATACAGGCAATTTTATGATTTATGTTTTACAATTTGTAATTGAAATTTTATTTATGGATGAGACTTTAGTAGACTTTATATATATAATCAAGGATTATCAAATCTTTACTGTGTGTTTATGTATACGGGATAATGATTGTTTTTCATGTATATCTAACAGACAAAAGTGTAATACAGTGTAATTCCTCTTCAAAGAATACAATAAAAAAATTAATCAGTCTTCGACGTATACTTTATGTCACTTTGGCGATAAATATTAGCTTTTCTATCGGATATATATAGGTGGTAAAGTTATCAGACTGTCCTTGTAATGAGTGTGCCCGTTTTGCACTTTACACAACATTTAAAGTATGTCCAACCACGATAATGCAGTAAGTGAACAGGAGAAAGTCAAAATTATTTTAAGCTTGACTTTTTTTGAAAAAAAAGTAAAGGTATTGTTATAGTTCTGGCGGCGTTGCCGTTGCGATGCCATTGCCGTCCGCAAACTTGTACCTGGATCATAACTTTTTAGTTCTTGGTGTATTGTCTTCAAACTAGGCCACTACAACCATTGGAACAAGACATTTCACTAGACCACAATAACCTTGATCTTCATCTATAAATGACCTTGACCTTTCAGGTCAAAAGTTCAAATTTTGCAGTAACTTTGTTATTTTTGAATTTATTGTCTTCAAACTTGAACATAATACTTTTCATGGATAGCCCTTTAGAATAATTAGACATACCATGACCTTTTTTCATAAATGACCTTGACTTTGAATGTCAAATTATTGAAAAATTTTATATTTGGGAATTATTTGCTATAACTTTTTTATTTTTGAATTGATTGTCTTAACTAGGCATACTTCAACTTTCACTCATAAATGACCTTAACTTCGAAGGTCAAATTATCAAATCATTTTCTTTTGCTACTATTGGCTGTAACTTTGTTATATTTGAATGGATTGTCTTCAAACTTAAATATAAAAATCTTTAAGGATAGCCCTTCAAAATAACTAGAGAGACATTGACCTTCATTTATAAATTACATTGACTTTGAAGGTCAAATTATTAAAATTTTAATTTATTTTTGGCTGTAACCAGGTGTAACTTTGCTATTATTGAATTTATATTGACTTCATATTATAACAGAACATTCTTAAGGACAAGACCTTAATGTTTATCAAACGCAAATTGACCTTGGCTCTTTAATAACATTGACCTTGAAGGTTAAATGGTTAAAGGTTTTGCATTTATAATCATATAATTATGTATAACATCTTACCTCCAATTTATCAATAAAACGAAACGTTGAATAAATTTCACATATATTTTTTTTCGGTAATGAACATGGATATTTAAAACATGTACGGTACAAATAGTTAACATACATTAGAATAAATAAGCCAATGATTGCACAAAAAGACGGAATTCTTATTTCCACTGTGATACCTATGTTGGTGGCATGACATAGAGAGCCTTTGTCAAAGGTAAATAAATAGTTTTAATTAAGTCTAATGGTAGTGATATTTAAATTATTTTAGCGCAGTTAGACTAGAATTTACAGTATTGCAGCACATTAGCCAAGTTTTAACAGAATAAATATATTATAAAGCAAAATGATAAAATGAATAAGATATTAGTATTAGATATTATACCTTTAGACAAACTACAATAAAAACAAAATATTATTTTATCACAATCACAAACTTAAACCTTTTGCTGACACATTTGGCACGATACCAAGACGAAACTAAAAAAAAGTAGAAATGAGAATTATAAAATAATTTAATTACTTAGACTAAAAGAAATGCGCCATTGCACATTCAATGTGTTAAATAATCAAAATGAGTTAAAGCAATTCCTGTACCGAAACAACATGATATCAATTTAAAAAAAAACCATATAAAAAATATTGAAAAACGACAAACTATCCATCAAGTACTTCTTCAGAAATACCTTTTAAAGGTGGTAACCTTCCAATGCTAGATGATTCAGCTGGTAAACTGTTCCACAATGAACAACCCATAATGCAGAAGAACTTGGAACCAAAACATTTGAACTTTGGGATTGCAAATACACCCTTGTTACTTCACCTGATATTGTAAGAATGAAAAGTGTCCTGGGGGATGAAATATTATTCCTTGTTATCCATAGCCGCCAGACCATTCTTAGTTTAAAATATGACAAGAGATGATCTGATCTACACGTTTATTGACTTGAAACGAGTTTAGTGAGCGAAAGTTATTTGGACCAATATCTGATTTGACATCAGCTCAAGGACAAACCTAATCAGCTTTTTCTGAGTAACTT